AAATATGGCGGCAAAATTCCCTTCGAAAATTTTAAAATTTTCCCTCAAAATTTTAAATTCCTCCCAAAATTTTGTTACAATTTAAAAAAATAAAATAATAATTGTTTGGTTTAATAAATAAATAAATAAATAATATGTATTTAAATAGAATATGTTTTTAAAAATTAAATAAATAATTGTTTGGTTTAATAGGTAATTTTTACACTTTTGGTTTAATAGAGAATAATGCATGTAAAATATGCGATAAATAAACAAAAAAAGAATTGTACAATGAAAATGTCATCACACAAACTAAATATTGTCTAATCAATACTTGAAAAACATAAATAAATATTGTCTAATGAATAAATTTGATATTCAATTTAAAATATTTACACTTATACTTAATAGAAGTATAACATTAACGCTAAGTGTTTGTTTAATCTACCGTTTTGATGGGATACGCATTCTACGAAGCGTTTTTCAACAATCCAACCGGCAAACTTGTTTGTACACACTCCGAGATCGCATACGTAAAAAATCACAAAAAACAAACATTAAGAGATTAGGTAACAAAACAAAAAATTTTAACGGTTATAAACGAAAAATCACAATTTAACGGTTACTTTAGCTCCGATTTTGATGATTTTTTACAGCAACACTCCTCGACCCTATAAGAATGCATTGAACGAATTCGATCTTCAATTTAAAATATTTGCACTAGTGGATAAATCTTATTTTATACTTAATGGAAGTATAACATTAACTCTAAGTGTTTGTTTAATCTACCGTTTTGATGCGATACGCATTCTACGAAGCGTTTTTTAACGATCCAACCGTCAAACTTGTTTGTACACACTCCGAGATCGCATACGTAAAAAATCACAAAAAACAAACATTAAGAGATTAGATAACGAAACAAAAGTTTTCAACGGTTATAAATGAAAAATCACAATTTAACGATTACTTTAGCTCCGATTTTGATGAATTTTTACAGCTACACTCCTCGACCCTATAAGAATGCATTGAACGAATTTGATCTTCAATTTAAAATATTTGCACTAGTGGATAAATCTTATTTTATACTTAATGGAAGTATAACATTAACTCTAAGTGTTTGTTTAATCTACCGTTTTGATGCGATACGCATTCTACGAAGCGTTTTTCAACGATCCAACCGTCAAACTTGTTTGTACACACTCCGATATCGCATACGTAAAAAATCAAAAAAAAAACAAACATTAAGAGATTAGGTAACAAAACAAAAGTTTTCAACAGTTATAAACGAAAAATCACAATTTAACGGTTACTTTAGCTCTGATTTTGATGATTTTTTACAGCTACACTCCTCAACCCTATAAGAATGCATTGAACGAATTCGATCTTCAATTTAAAATATTTGCACTAGTGGATAAATCTTATTTTATACTTAATGGAAATATAACCTTAACTCTAAGTGTTTGTTTAATCTACCGTTTTGATGTGATACGCATTCTACGAAGCGTTTTTCAACGATCCAACCGTCAAACTTGTTTGTACACACTCTGAGATCGCATACGTAAAAAATCACAAAAAACAAACATTAAGAGATTAGATAACAAAATAAAAGTTTTCAACGGTTATAAACGAAAAATCACAATTTAACGGTTATTTTAGCTCCAATTTTAATGATTTTTTACAGGTACATTTCTCGACCCTATAAGAATGTAATGAATAATTTGATCTTCAATTTAAAATATTTACACTAGTGGATACCACAAAATTTTATTTTATACTTAATGGAAATATAACATTAACTCTTAAGTGTTTATTTAATCTACCATTTTGACGCAATACACATTCTACGAAACTTTTTTCAATGATCTAACCGTCAAACTTGTTTGTAAACACTTCGAGATCACATACGTAAAAAATCACAAAAAACAAACGTTCAGAGATTAGGTAACAAAACAAAAGTTTTCGACGGTTATAAACGAAAAATCACAATTTAACGGTTATTTTAGCTCCGATTTTGATGATTTTTTGCAGCTACACTCCTCGATCCTTTAAGAATGCAATGAATGAATTCAATCTTCAATTTAAAATATTTACACTAGTGGATAAATCTTATTTTATAAATAATGGAAGCATAACATTAACTCTTAAGTGTTTGTTAAATCTATCAATTTGATAGGATATGCATTCGTCAAATATGTTCATATATATTATGAGATAGCATGTATAAAAAATCGCAAAAAATATAATATTTAAAACATGTGTTTATTTATTTTTAATCAATATAACATTTTAAAATAATAAAATCAGACATGATAAAGTACACCAGATGTTCATGTGTGTTTATGTGCTAGACAATGTGCATTGTGACGCATTGGAAAAAATTGTTTAAATTTCTTTGTATCTTGTTGCTTGCCTATGAGGGAGCATAATCCTCATTACAAAAATGATAGAGCTTTAGATTGTAGTCTGTTGTCATTATTCTCTCAGAAAATTTATGGCTTGTGAGAATTGGGTTCATTAGGCTTTAGGGTCATGAGTGAAATTTTTTTTTTTTAAATACGTGTTTATTTATTTATTTTTAATCAATATAACATTTTAAAATAATAAAATTTCATCTATGTCGTTATAACAGCCAGAAGACTAAAATAATAACCGTCATAAAATAAAATAATAAAATAGTTAATTTCTGTCGGTTACAACCGACATTATTAACCTAAAAACCGCCAGGATATGTAAAAAAACATTTAAAAAAAGATTAAAAAATTCTGCCAGTAGTTTCTTTTTATTCGCCAGTAAATATCCGTCAGGAATTGATGTCGGATATAACCGACAGAATTTTTCTAATATCCGCCAGTAATTAAATGATGTGTCAGATATAATTTATTCGACAAGATTTTCTAATATCCGCCATCTAAAGCTAATATTGTAGTAGTGGGATATCAAAAATCCCAATGAGGTATTATTACACAAGTTAATGACATTAAATTTATAATCCAACTTGCAACGAAGGCACCACTTTTAAGGGATTTAAGAAATGGAAGAGTTGACAAAAAAACTCATTCAGAAATCAACAAAAACATCACCACGGATGTAGTCATTATCTACCAAACTGACCAAAAAGTAGCTGCTCTGCACCTGCAAAAGTTAAGAACAAGATCGTGTCAATATTACTAACTTAATTTCCATCAAAAGGTCGAGTGGAAAGTTTTAATCATACAACTCATATTATTTTGATGAACATCTGAAGTCAAGTCAAACAGAAGAAGAAAGATATGAAAAGAAAACCGTTAATATAGCCAATGCAAATTTCTCCATGTTGAGAGTATAAAGATGCAATGTCCTAATACCATGAGCCAAAATCTTCTTGCACATCTCGGTTCCAAGGTGAATTCCGTATAATCTCACAGCTTCTTCATTGTCCTTGATAGGCTCCAAGGCAGCAGTAACCCTAGTTGGTATCTACAGTGTGCCATTTTATTGTTTGTAAAGTGGGGTGATGAGGAAGAAAACAAAAGAGTGAAAAGGCAATTAATAATACCTTGGTTTTGCAGAATCCAATCATGTGTATGGAACCCTCGTAGTTATTATAATGGGCATAATTCCAGGAACAATGGGATGAGTAATTCCAATTTGGCTACAGTCATTCACCAATTTGGCGACAGTCATTCACGAATTCATGGCGCCATCATCAACCTTTCTCTTCGAATAAGCTAGATCACTAGAGGCGAGCCCATCAGCTGCAATGGTGTCTGAGTGGCTCATCTTTACTACAATTCCTTCATCCTCAAAGGCTCCTAATTTGGTGATTCGAAAAAATGGTGGAATTCGAATGGAATTGAAAATGAAAACAAAGATGTGGAGAGAGAGAGAGAGAGAGAGAGAGAGAGAGAGAGAGAGAGATCTGATTACTAAGGTGGAGGAATTGTTTTTGTGCAAAGGAGTGATCGAGATTAGGCATAGAGATTGAGAATGAAGATTGAGAAATAGGGATTAGGTAGAATGATTGAGAAACGGAGAGACTAGAGAGGATCTGACGTGAAAGGGCTTGCATTAGGGGTAAAATTGGAAACTCATTCCTTAGGCTAGTCTTATTGTGTTGGTTTGATGTTAGGCTTTGTCCTAATCATTAGATAAACTTATTACCTGGTTTTTGTTTAAGATTCAAAATTTTGAAGTCATTTTCATTAGTTTTCCTTTTGTAGGAGACGTGTAAGTGATGAAAACGGAAAACAAAAAATGGACACTGTAACGCAATGTCTGAATCCAAAAATAAAAAATAGATCAGGAAGCAAACACTGCGTTGAAGTGCCTGAATCCAAATTTAAAACAAGCATGTAGTAGGTGTGTGAATGATGAAAAAAAAAAGAAATCAGGAAATGGACATTGTAATGCAATGTCTGAATCTAAGTGTAAAAAACAAAATAAGAAAACAGATACTGCACGTGTTGATCTATTACGAAATATAAAAAGTATGAGAAAGGAGGTGTCAATTGAAGTAGGTGCTAGTTGTAGTGGCAAATTTTATAATATTTTTTTTATATATTTTAAGAGAAAAATCACCCTGAATAAAAAACAGTTGAAGGCCAACAGTGCACTGCCGCATCTAACTATTTCTTTATGTTATCTATTTTTTTATAGATAAAATGGAAAACTGCAAATAAAATTCTTAAGGACAGAGGAAAACTCCAAAAAAAGACTTTTTATCTCCGTTGAGTGCACGTGGCAAGCTCTCACTGAAGCGAAAGCGGAAACTCGCATGAGAAAGGCTGCGCTGTCAAACATTTGTTGTGCCACGCCAACACCATTTTAGTGACGCCAGCGATAAACTCAGCATATCTACTTGGCGGTGTAAACTCGAGCTGGACAACCAGTGGGCCCCGCATACCCATCTGAATGGGCAAACCCCTCCCGGAAACCCCCATAGCGTGTTGAAACGGTGTGAACCGACGGCTGAGCCGTGGGTCCCGACACTCTTCTCTCTCTCTTCGATCCGCCTATAAAACCGAGTCTCTCTCTCTCTCCCCGCTTTCCTCGGTGTTCTTCCAAAGAAATTGAAAGATTTTTCTCTCGATTTTTCATGTTTTCTTTTTTAATATCCGTGGAGCGAAGAGTTTCGGACCAAAATGCCCTTCCATGCGAATAGGATACAGAAGGAGCAGGAGCACTGCATCATGGTCTCCGCCCTCAAGCACGTAATCTCCGGTGGGAGCATCAGCGGGCCCACCCCTCAGCACCCGCAGCCAATGCCTGCCGTCTACAATGCCATGTCATCCGTCTCGACGAGCGGCACCCAGTCGGCGGCGGGCCAACCAGCACAACAGGACCAGGGCAGGCTGGCCTTCTTACTAGACGGGGACACGTGTCGGGTGTGCGGGATACCAGGGTGTCTGGGGTGCAACTACTTCCCGCCATCGTTGCCGAATCAAAACAGGAACCAGCAACTGAGCTTGGGAACCGGGTTTGTCGGGATGAATGCGCCAACTACGAGGAAGAGCAAGAACAAGTACAGGGGCGTCAGGCAGAGGCCGTGGGGGAAATGGGCGGCGGAGATTCGAGACCCACGACGGGCGAAGAGGATGTGGCTAGGGACGTTCGAGACGGGGGAGGACGCGGCCAGGGCTTACGACAAGGCCGCCGTCGAGTTCCACGGAAATAAGGCAAAGCTCAATTTCCCATCGGACCCGGGAGGTCACATTGTCACGACTAACGACAGTTCTAGTAGTGGAACTAGTGCTAATGCCAGTATTAATCCAGGATTAATTAATAAGCAAAAGCAAAAGAATATTAGCGAAATTGAGGTCATGGAGAATGAGGAGGAGAAGGTTGATCAGGTCAAACTCAACCAGGCGACTCAGCCGGAGAATATGGAACTGGTGGCGGTGGCGACGGCGAAGAGCAGCGTTGGTCATGAGGAGGATGACCAGTTCTTGTTGTGGGACAATGGCTTGCTCCGAGATGGTGAAGATGATGACTTAATGGCATGGTTGTCCATGAACTAGTGTTTGTGCCTGTTTTTTGCTTGGCGTGACAGTTTGGTGTCGAGCCACTTGAAATTTTGAAAATTTTCTTTTGGTTAAACACTTGAAATTTTAATTTTTATAAATAAAAATAAATAAATTGAGAGTCAAATTAATGGTCAAAGTCCGAAATGGACTTGACATTTTCAGTCCGACATCGACATGGTACGGAAAAATTAGTATTCGGAACAGTGATAAACAGAATGGGTGGTTAACGGGTCAACCCGTTAAATAACGGATCATTTTGGATGAACTCACGAAACCCGTTATTGAGGAGTTTTGTGTAATTTCAATAGTCCTAATAGAAAACCCTCAGCCGAAATCCGACTGCAGTGAGTCTTCCAGCTTCAGAAGCCAACCAGAAGACTCTTCCAGCTTCAGCAGCCAACCCTTGGATGAAGAGGTTGAAGATGATGACGCGGAAGGTTTTGGACTTGAATTTGGACCCGGGTCGGGGCGGACGAGGTAGACGGTGGTTTGGGAGAGGAAGGCAGTGGGCCCTTGGGAGAGCGGAATAGGGAATCTGGGGGGATTGGAACTTTGGAAGCTGGGAATGGAGGAGCCACAGGAGCTGCAAATGCTGCGGAATCGGAGGTGTTCGAGGTGGGTTTGAACTACTAACGATGTGGTGACGAGTTTGAACAAAGACAACAACTTGACTGTGACCAAAAAGAGAGCCTACCACACTAGGGCTAAGGCTACTCGTGAGACATCACGTCTACAACACTCACCACGTAATTAGAATACAAGCTCCACTACTACATGCCTTTATTATTATATGCGCATGTGCGACTAATGATGGACAGAGTCGTTTGAACGACAGCTCTCCGTCATTTGTTTTTAACGACTAAACTCGTCACGAAGTGTGAAATTTAGCGAATGCCTACTCCAAATCCAACCGCTGATCACAATCTAAATTACATATATACATAAAGTGAATTCGATGAGGAGGGAAAACACATCCCTAGGAGGCCACATCTATCATTTACCAGAATTGCAAAAAGAATTTTACCTGGATTATAACAGTGTTTGTTTTTTACTACATCAAATTCTCCAATAAATTGACACTTCGGTTTGCAGCCAACAAAGATTTCAAACAACGAAACCCGATCGACGGACCACAACTGAAAATAGTATCACAAAGTTGCCTTGTCAACAAGAACTAGTACTTCAAAATCGTCCCCTTTTGCCTCTAAAGCAGTACCAGGCAGGCCCAAAATTTCGCATCATATCACCTGCGTGCTGCCAGTTTTTGCAAACCTTCGTTGGGAAAACCAGCATACCCTAGCACCTACATCTCTCTCAACAAAATCTCAATCTAAATACTAGACACCGCACCTACCGGTGCAACAGATGCTGCGAAAAAAAGAAACCAAAAATCTTTTATTCCTGAACCACTGTTTCAACCTGCAGTCATTTTCTTGAACCCAGCAAGCGGCAACTAATTTTATGTGGCTCCTCACGAGGCTGTTGAACTCCCACTTGAGGTCTGTTTAGCCACGTATATTTGCTTCATCTTAGTAGTAGCTGGGAAGCTCTTTTCAGCACCCAGAGACTGATTCCTTCCTTGGTACCCCATTCTTCGGTGGGACCAGTCACCGCCTGAACTATTTTTCTGCGATCCACCACCTCTCTGATAATATGATGAATGGCCATAGTGCTGGTTAGGGATATTACTCTTGTTCATAGAAGACTGTGACTTGGCGTTAGAACTTGCGTTATGTCCACTAGAACTGGTACCGAGATTCTGATCAACATCAGTCTTGGCATTATCTATGGTGCTACTCACAGATGAGCTCTTAGTGACAACATTCTGTGTTGAAGCCCCAGTGCTGCCGGAGCTTGTAGGGTCTACTAAACCCAGTTCATCTGGAAATCGGGTGGAAGTGGCTTCAGTCGCTACAGGAAAACTACGACTGCTGTCAAAGGATGTAGAAGTCCGCGACTCGGGGAACCTGTTGGCTGGCAATGATTGGTCAGTAGGACCATGGCTAAATTTAGAAGGAAGCATACCATCTGCCTGTTGCTGCATTGGCATTGATAGAGGAACAGACTGAAGAGATGATGCAGGAACATGGGGCCACCGTGCTTGAACTGACATATCAGAAGGCTGGGGACAACAATTTTTGCACACTTGTTAGTTGGGTTATTCCAGAAAGAAGAGTATGGTAACTGCTCGCAACCAAATAGAAATACATTGAAAATTTAACAAATTCTAATAGGAATAAAATCTACCACTCAAAGCATTCCCCTTCCCACTCTCTTTAGAGAGAACTCTCCCCAAAGCCAACTATGCTGCAAAACCTAAAAACCACTAAGCAGGAGGGGGTATATATTAGGTCAACATATTGAAATTTTACCTGGAAAGGAGAAACGTCAAACATGGCCAATGGTGAAGCCATGGGAAGTAGTGGTGACCCAGGGGCCAAATGCTGGATCGGAGCAGGCATGTTGGTAGGATTGCGCTGTGCAGAAACCATATTTATACTGTTCATCTCCCCCTCGCCAACACCCATGGAGGAAGATGCAGGGTTGTGCTTCCAATCAGGCTGCTTTCCTGATGGAATATAAGCAGTACCCATGAAACTCAAGCCAACTTGTCCAAATTGTCCTACAGGCGCAAAATGGTTATAGACAACCATGTGTGGAGGGCCTTGAACACCTGGTATGCCTCCAGCTGGACTGATAAAAGGACCAGTAAAACCCGCAGGAGGACCATAGAATGAATCTACCCCGGAATGGCATTGCTGCCAAGTTCCAAGTGGCGCTGAAACTGGTGCACTAGTCTTTTGCGATTGTGCTTGGGTAGTAGATGCAGACTCCTCATGTGGTCCAAAAGCAAAAACAGGACCCCCCATCATGGGATTCATCTCATAAAAGGGAAAATGGGAAGGTGGGCCACCAGGAAAATGTGGAAGCATTTGGCCTGAAGAATTCTGAGGACTCGGTAAGGGTGGCCATAACGAAATTGGTGGGGTCTCAACAGATAGATCTGCTGGAAGGGATACACTGAGGGACTCTTCAGCCCTCGATTGACTGGTTAATTGTTGATCACCAGCTCCACCTACTAAAGATTAAAAACCCTAGTATGAGAAGAATCATTAAATATAAGGCAACACTCAATACTAAAACAAAAAATCCATTCACACCTGCTGTAATCCCATCTATATCAGCACCTTGAACATTCTTAGGAAGGGCAGTCAAAACAAAATTGGTTATAATGAAATTATACTGACCTGGTAAAGGTGGCCTTAATGAGATTGGTGGGGTCTCCAAAGATAAATCCGCTGGAAGGGACACACTTAGAGACTGTTTGGCCCTTGATTGACTGGCAAATTTCTGATCACCGGCTCCAGCTACCAGAGATTAAAAATAATTCTAATAAGATAATAAACATTATAAGGAGAAAAGGAATGTGTGTCACTATACCAGAAAAATAAGTATTCACCTGCTGTTATCCCATCAATATCTGCAACCGAACCAGAGCAAGCACCCAAACTATTCCCACCAATTTCATCACTGCTGATGGCTGCAACAGCAACAGCTGAAGCAGCTGCTTCAGCTTCTGATTCACAATCTTCCAAATGAACACAAGACTCAGCCGTGTGTTTCTCTTTCTCAAAGAGAAGACCACAATCATTTTCATCTGCAGAAAGATTGTGGGATAGTTGCATGTCAGACCGAGATGGTCCTGGTGGACCAATTCCATGTGAAATAGAGCGGCTACTAGGAGGAAGTATTGTTGGAGACGTGACAGCACCTGAATATAGAAGGACAAATGATCAGAAAAATGATGACTGCAACTTTTAGCAAACTCTCGAGATTTTTAGCATGCTCACCAAATTGGATTTTCTCGCCAGCAAGCAGGGAATTGATTGGATTTGCAGCAGAAGAAAATGGCTTCTCCTTTGTCAAGATTGATGAAGATGGCATGCTGGATTCACAAACTGAGCTAGTAATTTCTCCAACAGAACCATGAGAGCCAAATTGCCCAGGCTTCATAGCCTCATCAAGTTGGGTCTGTGTCAAGGATATAACCTGCTGGATGAAGTCAATCAATTGCACTCTGGGCAGTATACAGAAGGGGAAAAAGAAAAAAAGGGAAACACGCTGCAGTAATATGTTGCTTCATCGGTACAACCAAGAGATGTGTGTGTGTGCGTTCCAAAAAAGGAGCAATAATGGAACACAAATGAGGAAAATTAAACCATAAGAAGAACGAGAACAGTGAACAACTCATTTGTATAACACAAAAAAATATGCTGGGGTGCAAATAAAAGCACCCAATGCATGTCACTGAAGCAACACAGTGAAGAAACCAACAAAAAAGAACACAGTAACCTTACAGAATCTATTCAGAACAAAAATGAAAAACCTATGGTAAAACAAAAGGCCAAGATTTACAACATAATTGTTTTGCACACCTGTTGATTGATCCGTGAATTACCCCATGCATCCAAAGATGCTTGAACATTGTCCAGAACCTTACTCTTGTTGTCAACAATTGAGCTGCGCCCAAGATTTTTCTCACTACCTGATACTACAGGAAGGGAGCTTGTGTTCAGTGACCTGTTGATAAAAAGAATGATTAGAAATCTATGTATTAAGTTATTGGGTTTAAATGTTTATTCAAAGCGAGCAAATACCTGATTGTGTGGGATCTAATATCAGCCTGGGCATCACTTTTTACAGCAGGAGTGCCAATTGGAGCCAACGGTTGAGACACTACATTAGTGTTAAGACCAGCTGATACTTCCATATTAACCAATCCACGTCCCTCAGAGGCAACGAAATCAGAGTGACTGCTGTTTCCTGCTTCTCCATTTGCCACTGCATAATTTTTACCTGAGTTGGCAGAGGCAGTACTACTTTTTGAAGTAGAACGAGGTTTTCGTGGAACCTGATAAAATGAGCACATAAAAAGAAATTAAGCAACACTATTTAAATCAACGAAAGGCAAAATACAAAATGAAATTACATGCATTCCAACCTTTGAGGCCCGAGACTTTGCCTTGATTTCTTTTTCTCTCTGTTCACGCCGATCATTCAGCATTTGCCTCTTTGATCTCACTTCAATGAAATCATCTTCATCACTAGGAGCCTCTATGCCAGGTTGCTCAAAGACACGCACAAAGCCACTTTGCAAATGAGCATACACATCTTCTTCAGAATGAATATTTCTTTTAAGATTTCCCTCTCCAGATTGCAGGACATTCTGACTCCTTGTCAAAGCATCTTTTCCAGCTCCCTTTTCAGCCTTGCTCCCAGATTCTATTTCTAGTGAATTAAGTGGACCTGGGCTCAAGCCCTCTGAATCTAACATCTGTTTTGATGGTTTATTTGACATAACAACCCTCCTAGGCCCACTTCTTACAGAAGGCCCAAAACCCCTTCCAGAGACATATTTCTCGTCCAGTCCAACGTGGTTGGAAGATACAGACCCTGTATATTGCCTCTTATCAGCACTTCCTCTAACTCGAAACTCAGTTCGCTGCATATTGCGTCGAGGTCTCCTCTGAAACCCACTAGATTCTAAATGGGTAGGCTCAGCAACTGGAAATGATCTAGAGCCAGAATTCTTAACTGTAACCACATATTTTCTTCCTCTGCCACCAGATGTTGGGCCATGGGCCCTTGGCCCACTAAAATCTTTGTCTTTGATAATTAACTGAGATGGCGCTGCTCCAGTTTGAGCCTGACCTTGAGATTCCCGAGTACCAAGAAAACCACTGAAGTTTTTCCCAACCGAGTTATTGTTTCTCTGGTCTTCCCCCTCAAAAGACTCAGATCTTGAACTGCTATCGCTAATACGGGATACTGCTGGTCCCCGTTGCACCATGTCAGAGGTTTCAGCAGTTCCTCCAGTGGGCATTGAATTTATCTTTTCTGATACATTCTCTTGAGATGCACCCAAAAGCCTCGAAGTAACTCCAGGTTGATTATTATTCACTGAACTCAACGTAGCATCATTTTTAGTAATTTGATAAGTTCCTGGGCCAGTTTGAATAGGCAGAGGGCCTCCTGGGCTCTGATTCAATGAAAAACCGGATGGGAGATTGGGCTGAACAAAAGACACTGATTGAGGACCCATTGGCAGTACTCCCTGGGAGATAGGAGATGTATACCTTAGCTGACCAAACTGGAAGAGTGGCTGTGACGGGTGCATGTGGGCGAGAGACGGACCAACCTGAGGATGCAGAGGAAGAGGCATCTGTATAGAACCAATTTGTATAGCTGGGACCGGAGATGGTATCAGAGATGGACCGGAAAACAGCCCAAACTGAAGCTTAACAGGTCCCTCTGTCTGATTCGGAACAGAAGATACTGTAGGCTTGGCAGCTTGACTGGACAACAAATGGGAGGTAAAGCTAACCAAAGATGTAACTGGATGCTGAGAAGATAGCCCAGAAGTACTAGAAGCATCCACATGTTCACGTTCAGTTTCAGCTGACATATGAGAGACATTACTAGGCTGGATAACTAAATTCTGCATTGCCTTCTCAGTTTCTTGGACCAATCTGGAAGAACTACCTACATTCACTTGGTTGGACCCATCCATAGGTTGAAGGGTCAGTTCATGAGCACGAATTCCATCAAATGACCCCTGTTCTTCAACAGTTCCAGATGAAACCTTAGGTACCACAAATGTACCTTCATCATTCCTTGAACTTCTCTCAAACTCATCATTTGGCATTCCAACTTCAACACCTTCATTGAAGCCTAGGACCAAATTGTCCATGTCAGGGGATCCTTTCTCCTCTAAATGCATGTCGTCGAACTCCTGGGTTAGATCAATATTCTCATCATCTACTTCATGCACTTCATCTTCCTCCTCGTATCCATCTTCATCTTCATCATATTCTTCTTGCTCCTGAAGATGCTCATTGTTCTCAACAGCCCATTCTTCATCATCACCAGTTGAGATAGAACTAGAAGCATTCATCACATTCTCTTGTCCAGGATTGGTAGGTAATACGAGAGGTTCACTCTCCGGCCCAGATAAGGGGACCTCTTTGCTGTCTCCTGGGGCAGATAACACTGAAGAATCTCGAGACTCATCCAAGTCATCATGAGAAAGATGAGTTGGAGAACTAGGGGGGCTAGACACAGAAAGAGATGATTGTGAGTCACACCTTGGGCTGGTGATACTGTCCAGTTTACGATTCTCACTCCCCGTGTTTTCTTGTTTGACATTAATTATTTCAGGTTGTCCAATATTCTCAGGACGATTAGTATCATGCCTTGTCTGCATGGTAGGTTCACCTCTACCTGCTTGATTGTACTGTATCTCATTGTCTAGAAAAGCTGAGGGGCCAGGACGCTCAACTTCATCCCTGTAGGAGGATTTGTGCATGGAAGCTAGTGATGGCGGTGGAAGAACACGAGGCTGCCTCATGGAATACCGTGACCTACCAAAGGAATAAGGCCCATCTGCATCAGAATTTGGATACAACTGTTCAGGGTAAGGAGAATAAGGATTGCCATGGACATGCCCCTGCCCCCATCCAACATCACTAAACTTTTCAACAAGGTTATCATGGAATTCAGACTCAATCTCCATGTTTCTGCTATAATGATCCCCATTGCCAGAAAGGTGCCACCTCTGCCCCCCTAAATGAGTGATATCATCCATGTGAGGTTCAGCAATCCCCCCTTTGTGGTAAGTCCTAGAAGACATGAATCCACTGCCTCCATAGAACTCTTTCCTTAAAGGAGCTCTCCCACCAACAGATGAATCTCGTCTGGGACTATGATGGCCAAAATCCTGGTCTTGCAGAAGTAAGCTTGAGCTGTTCCCATTCTCATATACATCTCTTCTCCAGGAATTAACGGACTTTCCCCTGTCCACAAAAGGAGAACTATCTCTAGAATAATGAGACCTAGAACCCATCTCAAAGGACCTGTTCAAACTTGAATCAGAAGATGCCGAGGCTGTGATCCTCTCCACCATTCTTTCACCATCCTCCCAGTCACCCATGTCTGCTGCCCTGGAGACATCTTTTTCTTTCTCCATCCTAGACATTTTCTCATCTGCATCAGCCACAGAATTACCACCAGTCTTTCCTGTTTCAGCCCTCCTCTTCGCAATCCTTTCCTCCAATTCTAAAAGCTTCTGCTTAGCAGCATGCTTCCTCCTTTCTTCCTCCAAAAACAACCTCTGTTTCTCCTCTTCCCTAGCTAATCTCTGCTCTTCAGCTCTTCGCATGGCATCAAGTTGTTCTTGTTCTGCTCTCCACGCTGCTTCCCTAGCTTCTTCTTCCATCTTTCTCTGCCTTTCTTCTTGTTCCCTAGCCATCCGCATTCTCTCCTCTTCTTCTCTTCGAGCTAGCTCCAAAGCTCTTTCTTGTTCCTCAATGATCCTCTGTCGCTCCTGTTCTTGCATTTTCTGAACTCTCTCAAGTTCAGCCTCAAAAGATTCCCTAACAGGGTCATGGAAATCAGTTTGTTTAACCACATCTTTCTTCTTCTTAACCACTCCAAAAAGACCGGCAGAGAAGGGATCCCGGCTGTCAAAACCAGTACCTCCAAAGTCTTTCATGTAAGGATCCTCTACATAAGGTTTTTCACTCTTTGAAAATGGGTGCTTCTCCCTTCCAAAATTAAGCAGTGGATCATTGATGGGAAGCCCTTTACCACCTGCAGTGTAGGGTTTGGACACTGAGCTATTCTGTAAAGCATCACCTCTGTATCTATTTTGTTGTTCACTGCCATACCGGTCACGTTTATTCCATTCAGGCCCTCTGCTTGTATATGAGTCTGTAGAATTGTTCCAAGGCTGTCTACCTCCTTGTCTATACCCATCCCTCCTTACAAAATTATCTTGAGCATTTTCTTGAACAGATGTCAGACTATACTTACTATCCTTGCTTGTTTCTCTGTATAAACTCGAAGCCCTTGCATCAAAAACATTTCGGTCATTTCCAACTTGACCACTATTTCCATCTTTTGGAAATGTGGTATTTCTCCATGAGTTCCCTTCCCTTCCTTCTCTACTAGGTGTTCCTGCATCTCTGCTGTACGAGTCCACCTTTGGGACTTCGCTGGTAGAAACCTTTCCAGCTTCATTGTCATGCAGACCCCATCTCTCCAAAGGGTTGTGAACTGGCTTGAGTGGTGGAACACTTATTCTGGGCATATCAAAATCTCTATCCCAACAAGCTTCAGTTTTTGAGAACCCATGATCTCTGCCCCGATCTGCGAAACCATGACTTGTATCACGCTCATCATCCGCCCAATCTGATCTTGGGTTCAACCGAACTAGTGGTAGTGGACCTGGAAAATACTCATCCTGCTTCTTTACTTGCTCTGATGCTCGATCACCACCCAAACCCTTACATTCACTGCCATTCTCATTCTGTACACTACGACGAGAAGTCTGCAATTGAGGCCGCATGTCAACAAGCAAACGAGAATGAGTACTATCCCTCTGCTCATTCAACAATTCATCACGGACAGCTTGCATCTGTTTCAGATTCAAACCCTCCTTTTGCTTTTGTGAAGGCCTTGACAAAGAAGGCAAAGCAGCCTGCAAAGAAGGGAAATCTTCACCCCTCAACAGCAGTGCTTTCTCTGCCGGTTGAAATGTTGGAGCAGGAATAGGGAGAGGTCCCACCGAGCCAGGCCGAGCTGAAGGTGGCATATAAACACTGCTCCCCACACTGTTCCCTCTACTCACCCCATCAACACCATGCAAAGTCTGGTCATTTGCCTCAGCTCCTCCATGATCACCATCCACTTCTTTCTCTTGCAAAGCAACAGCAGTAGGCTTTGTCCACCCCACACCAGACGAAGTAGGCCTCGCCCCACTACCTGCAGCCCCTCCACCAGTGGGACCACCACCTGAGCCCAACGAATCAAATCTCTCATGCTCTTTGCGCAATGAAGGCAGATTCAAGGGGGGTGGAACAGAAAGCTTCGACCCAACAGCTTTGTTCGCACTGCGAGGCCTCGAAAGGACCACCATTCCTCCGCTGCCATGACTAGCTGGCCTCCCCCTGTTCGACCCGTAAGGGCTATGGTGCGGTGGATGGCGATGATGGTGAGAAGGCTGCCCATATGATTTGTTCAGATTCACAGATACAAACTTGGCCCCGACTCCGGGATTAGCCATCTCACGCGTCCGACCCACACTACGATCAAATTAGCCGGCTCTGATATCTGCCAACGCATCAAAAACCCTAACCCTAGCTTTCTGCTCCCGCCCGCCCAAAATATCGAATCAAATTCTGTTCCCCTTCGACGGATCTCACAGAAAAATGATTTATTTTAATCGGAACCCAAACCCTAGAGCGTCTCTCCCTAACCCTGATCGATCAAAACATTAATCATCACATAATTGCTCGATTAATTAAACTAATTAACTCGTAATGCATGTAAACAACCCCAATTAAAGGGCAATTATTGTCCGATTAGGTTTTCTCAGTGATGGAATTTAAGGAGATCAAAATGGAAAGACAAAGGGGGAGTAGGATAAGGAGCTTACCTCCGGGAGCTCAAGATAGAGAACGGCGTGGTTAACGTGCGCCGCGGAGAAAACACGAGTGCGAAAGCGTAAGATAGAAGAAGCCCTACTGTCACCGGAAAGAGAGAAACAAGGAGAGAGAGAGAGAGAGTAGAGAGAGTAGAGAGAGAATAAACGAAAAATGAGGCTAAGCACGAGAGGAGAGGAGAGGAGAGGAAAGTCAGGAATGGTTTTTTTGTCTTCTTGTTTCCTCCCCTTTACTCTATATTATTTATACTTACACCCCATAGACTTCTGTGATTTTCATTATGCTCGTACTTTATATTTTCACATTCGCCCCTCTAGTCAATGGACCGTGGAGTACGGACACCGTCATAGTTTTGTTTTTGGTTTTGTTCTGGGATCTGGACCGAAAACAAGAACAATTGTTCGACTTTGTGGTTCCTTCCTTTGCCATTTTGATCAATTGTTTTGAAAGACTGCCACATTCTCCAATTGAACTGTTTTTCATGTAGGATAAGAATAACGAAACGTATCATAATTTGAGTACTCCTACGTTGATTAAAAGTAACTTAGTTGCTTATTCAAAATGTGTTTAATGAAAACATAATGAGTATGTCTTGTTCCATGTCGATCATGTTTGAAACATAATCAAAATAAGCGCCCCAATGGGTAGCTTCAAGCCAATGCAAGGTACCAACGAGTAGCTCCATCCCAATCTCACGTTAATCACTATCCAACATATGTGCAATATTAGTTGCTTCCGTAGATTGTAACTCATCATGACACCTGTAGTTTATAAGCAAAACAAGACACATGTGAAATCTCAAAAAAAGAAAAAAAAAACAAAAAAAAGTTTTAAAGTACATAAACATGTTATGAAATAAGAGCATCTCCAATGGGAGACTCCCACCACTTTTAAGGACTCATTTAGGAACTTAAAAGGAAATTTATGTGTCCTTAAAGGAATATTGTCTTCAATAGTAGAGTCCTTATAGTATAATCCCTAAATACAATGACTAAAATGTTATGTTCATTTCTTTGAAGTATTGTAGCCGTTGATAAAAAAAACCTATGAAAAAGAAAAGGAGAAGTTGCAAAAAAAAAAAACAGAAAGAGAAACAACATGCCCACACGACATGGGTGGGTTCAAAAAGCAAGAAAAAAACAAGGGAGGGAGATTTAACAAAATACTCCTGGTATATTTCACTTTTAACGAAAAACCACATTTTTACCTTTTCTTGATACTATTCACTACAACTTTATTTGTCATTTTTCATTAAAACTAAAGTTTTTTTGGACTTTTCGTTAGTTTTCCTAAAAAATAAAAGGTATGCAGTATTCTCATGTGAGTGCAATGGCGGATCCAGGATTTTAGACTCGGAGGATCCTAATAATAAAGATAAAAAAAAATTATAATGAAAAATGTCCTCTCCACAGAATTGGGGGGTATGTGTTGGGGGGTTTGGTTTTTTTTTTTTTTTCATTTTTTTTATTATACAAAGGTAAAATTCATTAGTTACCAACAAACGTTACAAAATAAAGACCCAAAAAAGTAACACAAAGAAAAAGTGGGCCTTGAAAACAAGCAACACGCCGACCATCTTACCAAAAGCCTAAGCAAAATACTAGGCCCAAAAACAAACAGAAAAAATGGAACAAAACCAAACAATTGTCCTAAACGAGTCTTATAGGCCGAGTCTTAAAACAGAAAAAAAAATCCTTTCTTCTCGCAGTCGTCTTTTTCAAGAAGATGCCGCCGCTACAGCCTGCCCTGGCCATCGTATTCAAGTACAAGGGGTCCCTAGAAAACTTCAAAGCACAATTTAGGGTCTCTGAGGGAAGACTTCTATTCCAAATTATTAGAAGCCTTTTGTCCCTTTGTTTTAGGAATATATGATTGTAAGACTCTATTTAGGATATGTATTGGAGATGCTTAGTGGGTTTAATTTTTGTAGTGCTAGAGCCTAGAGAGTTGGTTATATGCTAGAAGCCAATTTATGTATGTATATATAGTCCCCTTAGGTTGAGGGATTTTTCAAATAAGCTTGTTTGAGGATACTTTGTAGTGTACATTTCGTAACACCTTTCAACGATGCAAACAATTTATATTTTAATTCATCATTCATGTATCATCCTTACAAAAGATAAAATAAAATCCAAAATCATTAGAATATCCAATTGTGATGAAAAAATAAGTAAATACAATTCTTGAAAAAATACACTAAAATGATTGCCTTCTAATTAAGTGGTAATATGATTTTGAATATTGATTAATTTTTGCGATGGTAATCTACGAATTAAAATATGAATAGTAAATGATCGGATCTGTTGGATATATGGCTTAAAAGCAATCAATATTAGTGAATTGGTTCAGGTGATAGAGTGACTAATCCACTAATTAATTGCAAGGGCAAGATCACTATAGTAGAATTACTAAAATTATATATATACTTAAACTCGAACTTACAAGTTAATTCCTATTATGTCCTTGCAGTGTTTTTCTGTTTTTTCTCTTATTTTTTGTTATTTCATGCGTTGATGGTGGATGTCACTCCAACTCTCCAGTCCTGCGTGCGTTCAAATATATCTCCTCTAAAATTGCTACCACGTTTTAAGAGAGATGGCGTGGTGCTGCCACTTTCTAAAAGAGATTGATATCTGAAAGGGATGAATCTCTTCTTTTTCCATTGCTCTCAACCTCCATCTGCAGAAGGAGCTCAAGCTCCTCCTTACCGACCCTCCACCTCTTCATTCATGCACCACTTCGAATTGAATCACCCGCTTTCTCTCTCCGACTCGTCCCATTTTGATTCCCCTCAATCTCATTCCCAATGGTATCCAATTCCAATATCCTCTTCATTGGCGGCACCAGAAAGTTCATCGTCGAGGCCAGTGCTAAAGCCGGCCACCCACCTACTTTCTGGTCTGAGAAACTACCCTTTCCAACCCGGCAAAGTCCAAAGTCCTCGAGAACTTCAAGGATCTGGGCGACAATTTTGTCCTGGTTTGTAAAATTCCCAGCATTTTGTAGCTTTTTAATCCGATTAGCAAATTGGGTTTTGCTTGATTTTGTATTTCTTTTTTTTATTATATAATTTACAGGATGATGGTACGATCACGAGAGCTTGGTTTTGCTTGATAATGTTACTTTTCTGTGAGTTATCTTTACTTTAAGTTTTTCATATTTCATAATCTTCTTTGCACAAAATCGCTGGTTAATTCCTGATTTCATGCATATTTATGTTACCATTTCTATAATCATTTAATATTTCCTGTTAGATAGAACCTCATTACATATTTCTCCAAGTTTTACTCAACACCAACTCTCATAAATATGTCATGTTTCACTAATTTGGCCATTTGGTCAATACTATTCTAATCTTTTAGATGCGTCACTAAATTTCATTTTTTTGGTACATTTTACACTTGACTTGAAAAAATATGTCTACCAACAAAACAATGCTAATACTTTTTAGGATAAATTACACAAAATTACCTCAACTATGGATCAAACTACAATCTCATACCTCATGTTTTAAATATTGCAATGTCATACCTCAACTTATGAATTCGTTGCAATGTTAGATCTCCGTTAAATTTTTTGTCAATTTTGATTGTTAAATGATGACGTGGCAGGAGCAGAGCCCACTCCTTTGACAATTGGAATAAAAAATTAAGCGTTAATTTTTATTTACTACCCTGAAGTTTCATGGTTTTCAACATTTGGTACATGAAGTTTTTTTTGTCCCAGAGTCATACATCAAGTCTTAATTTTGGGACAATATTATACATCCGTTAGTCAAACTGTTAAATTTCTCGTTAAGTGATGACGTGGCACTCATGTGGATAATGACTGGGCGCCACATGTCATTAAGGGTCCACGTGGAATTTTTTTTCTTTATTTCTTCTCTTCAGAGGTGACATGGATTTTTTTTTCTTTATTTCTTCTCTTCAAAGGTGACGTGGACTACTTCTTCTCTTTATTTCTTCTCTTCAAAGGTGACGTGGACTTCTTCTTCTTCTTCTTCTTCTCCCTCCACCCGAGTACCCCCTTCTCCCCTAAAACCTCTCCCTCTATTTCTTCATGCAATGGAAATTCACTAATTAATTCCCCCCGGGCGCCACATGTCATTAAGGGTCCACGTGGAATTTTTTTTCTTTATTTCTTCTCTTCAGAGGTGACATGGATTTTTTTTTCTTTATTTCTTCTCTTCAAAGGTGACGTGGATTTCTTCTTCTTCTTCTTCTCCCTCCACCCGAGTACCCCCCTTCTCCCCTAAAACCTCTCCCTCTATTTCTTCATGCAATGGAAATTCACTAATTAATTCCCCCAAATTTATACCCCCAATTCTCCATCCAAAACCCTAACATTCAAACCCTCAATCATCAATGGAGCAGCTCAAGACCATTGGTCGGGGGCTCGCAATGGGCTCGCAGGGCGGCTTCGGCCGATCCAAGGAGTTCATCGACCTTGTCAAGTCCATCAACGAAGCTCGATCCAAGGTGGAGGAGTAGCACATCGTCTTCTTCGAGATTGAAACCCTTAAATGATGTCTCTCCGATGAGGCTGTCAGGAAGAAAGCCATCATGGAGTTTCACAAATTTTATCAGAAATCACCCTCCTCTGTTTTGTATCTGGTGGTCAGCTTTGTTAGCATGGTGGACAAGGAGGTTTGGAGGGCGGATGAGGTGAAGAAGAAATGATGTGAGGAACGACGGAGGTGAGAGAACCACGACGCCATGGCCATGGCGGTCTAGGAGGTACAGAGATGCAGAAAATGTCAGGTAGGGGGTGGGGGATGAAGGGGGTTCTGGGTTTGTTTTTTTGTTTTTTTTTTTGACCATTGTTCTCGGTGTCGAGAAGAAGTCCACTGTCAAGCTCCAGGATTCCAGGTACCGAGATCACACACACACAATGCTTTCTTTACTTTGATCTAATTGAGGAAAATTGAAGTGGGCTTTAGGGTTAGGGTTTTTTAATCACATCGAATTCTAATTTTTTTTGGGTTTCAATCGCTGTAATTGGTTGAATGGTGCATTGAATTGAAATTGAAATTGGTAAGGGAGGGTGGTGTAGGTGTATGTGCAGACGAAAGAAGGGAGGGAAGGGGTGTGGGTTGTAGAAGAGAGAAGGGAGGAGTGGGTGCGGGGGAGAAGGTGGGTACATGTTTTTTTTTTGTGTTTTTTTTTGTATTTTTTAATATTAAAGTGGGCCCATATTGACATGTGATGCTCAGTTATTGTCCACGTGGGCATTACGTCATCAATTAACATAAGTTTTAACAGAAAAGTTAACGGATGTATGAAACCGTCCCAAAATTAAGACTTGAGGTATGACTCTGGGACGAAAAAAACTTCATGTATCAAATGTTGAAAACCACGAAACCTTCATGGTAGTAAACAGAGATTAACCCAAAAATTAATTAATAAAAAATTATTAATTTTTTTATTTACAATTAAAATCAATTAAAAAACAACTCTCTCAGCCGCAACCATCTCTCCCCCTTCATCCCCAATCCTCCGTTAACCCCCTCCCACATTTTCCAAGCAACCAAACAAACCAAAGCACATAATTTTTTTCAGAAAAAAAAAATTCAAAACCCAAGTCAAAAAATCACAAAAGAGTGCAGGCCCGATTTTTTATCTTAAAACCGTGCAGTGAATGTGGATCTAGCAATTACAAGCCGTGATTCCCAAATCTCACAAATCAAAATTTACAAACCCTTAAAATCCCAATAGATTTACAAGTTCCCGAAGTGGGATTCAAATCCCATGAAACTTTCATAGCCATTGGACTGGACCAAAACACTAGACTATTTCTTTACCGGAGAAAATTAAGATTTCATTTTTAATTTAAACCTATGATGTTATGGGTAAAATGATTTCTGGGCATCGATGGAGAATACGCGCAGACGAAGGAGAGAAGGAAATAGAGAAGACGCGCATACTACCTCGCTGAAAAAATCTCATCCCCCGACTTCATCGAGTTCCTCCTCCCTCCCTAGAACGATGCCTTCCACTACTCCAAAATCCCTAGCGCCCTCGATGCCACCAACAATGGCAACCACATCAGCAATGGCGATGGTGATTACGCTGCTTTAGATTTTCACGACGCACTCGAGAGCTCCCTTACCAATCTTTAGAACCTTGACGACGGATATACGAGGATTGAGAAAGTCTCGATCATTGCCAGGTCCAAAAATCGCAAGTGGAAAGCTCATACGGTAGCCTGATCTCGAGTTCATGTGGCTTCCATGATAGAGGACTCGTCGCAGACGGTCATCAAGAAGTGACGAGAGAGACACGAGGAGAGATAGGGTTTTTAATAATTTTAATTTTTTCAGATAAAAAATTCTTCACTTATTTAATTTTTAAATTATGAGTGGGTCCCATTATTGGCAGATCATCATTTAATAGTTAAATTGATAGAAAATTTAATGGAAATCTGACATTGCAACGAATTCATAAGTTGGGGTATGACATTGCAATGTAATTTACCCTACTTTTCTTACAATTTCATGATTAAATGCAGGAAAATACGATCAAGGTTTTATAGCGATTTCACCATGAGAAGCAAATACTTCTTCATTTTATGCTTGCCACAGGGTTGACAAACAAGTTCACCAATTTAACCTCAGTTTGTTTCTTAAATTTCATTTTTGTTATTAACAACATAACCTTATTTTAGATATTCCCATCTTTTATGTATGCATTGTTCGTTTAAGGCAAATTTAACAGATGCTTTACTAGAGATATCAAAGTTTTACTAAAATTAGCTTTTATCTTTAAGACAATAATTTTGATTCACGCATAATAATTAGCATACAAACATGCATCTCTTTGTGACAAAATGTCAATCTACAACATCTTCTATGCTTTTGGTAAGCAATTACCTGAGAGTTGACAATATTATTCTCATTAGTTTTGTTTTGGGTTCGTTATTATTCTATTATAACAAATGCGCTTTTGTTGTTTGTGGATCGTGCGTTCAATCAATATTTTGCAAATTCTACAATTGTATACCTTCTCACTAAAGACATTAATCACGCTACAACTAAACGATTCAATGATATCAGGAAAAATTAGGACTTTATCAGTATGGATGCAAATTTCTTCCTCCTCGATCTTGGATGATTTTGCATCTACAAAACAACTAGCAACTTAGGTTAAGGCCAAAAGCCTCACGCGCCCACGATGAATGGGGTGGGCTTTGGCCGAATAACCTCCGATGCCAAAGTTAGAATTTTAGAGAGAAATAGTGTTTAGAGCATTTGAGATTTTTTGTAAGAGAATTGGACTTAGTGTTTGGTGAAAATGGGAACCAATATATAGGAGAGAAAGGGTGTGGCCGGCCTTTAGGCCAAGTATGATTTATTTTGGGGGGTTATGGAGATAATGGGCTAGTTATTTTGGGGAGTTATGGAAATAATTGGCTAGTTAATTGGCAAATAATAATAACGTAATTAACTAGCTATTTGAATGTCATAAAAGGGAAAGAAAATGGTAGCAAAAAGCAAGAAATAAAAGGCATGGCCGGCCCTAGTGGGTAATCGGCCTTTGGTATGTTTTTTGGTTATAATGTGGTGGTTTAATTGATAATTAAGGGATTGATTAGGTAATTAATCCCTTAATTAGTCAGTTTTAGGAAATAAGAAAGGAATATATTATTTAGCTAATTTATTAGCTAAATAATGGAATATAAAACATATAGAATAAATTAGATTTTGGGAATTACCTTATAGAAAGGATTTGATGAAATAGGCTTTAAATTGTTACCTATTTTGGGCACTTTTGACTTGGTTGAAAAATGATTGCCCGTTGCTAGCGCGTAGGAATCTCGGTATGCCTCAAGGGTATTTTTGTCCTCTTTTGTCCAAAAGTCCACGTATTTTTTTCCTCTTCGTCTTCTTCATGCCGCACTGAGGTAAGAAAAAAATTAATTTTCCTTGTTTTCTTCTTGGATGGTGCTACCGCAGGGCAGCCGTCGGGGTGATGCGGCATGTTGGCTGAAATGGGCCAAGAGTCGGCTCGGCATGGGCCGATGAGGTATTGTGGCAGGGACCACTGCTTTAAGCTGCTCGACTTGGCTAGAACCAAGGGCAGCTTGTGTGGCTGGGGTCGCGGATTGTGGCGCTGGGGCGCAGTACTAGGCGAGTCACATGGCTCATGTCCTTTTAGGCTTTTGGACATGACGCGAGCTAGGCCGGTGATTGAGAGAAATGAAGAGGTTGCAGGCCTTATGAGCTGCTGGAATGTTGGGTTGAACTTCCCTGCTAGGTACCACAAATGGCGTTGGCTACTTTAACTCTCTTCGTCAGGAGAAACGTGAGCAGCTCCTAAAAGAGGAGGTGAATAGGATCAAGGCAGATGCATTGGCTCGCCCAATCACTGTTGTGGATCCTGCTACAAGTGAAGGTGGGAAAAGGGATTTTCCCTGCTTGCTCAAGAGATGCCGGTTGAGAAAAAACCAAAGACTTTTTTCGCTGCTCGCGCGGGTTCGCCGACTGCCTCTAGGCTTGTGATTAACTTGACTTTTTTCAAGGGGATGAAAAATGAGGCTGCTAGATATGAGCATGTGGTGCCTGCCATGTTAAGAATGGCTCGTACGATTGCTGATAAGATTGTTCGGCATAAAGGTCCTGTATGCCCCTGGTGCCAAATTTTGTACCAAGACATCTGTTGGGAGCTAAGTCTGGTTCACCTTTGGAGAGGCTTGCTATTATAAAGAGCGATAAGGTGGACTCTGCTGCTAAAGTGGCGCCAAGGCCCATTCCTTATGATGTTGAGACTAATTCGCCTGCTGGGAATGAGGAGACTGCTCGCGTAGGCAGTTATGAGAAATCCACTAAGCCTGCTTCTAGGGAGGCTGCTAAGATATCTGTGCTTTTGAAACCAAGTCTCTTGAAAACATGGACGCTTGTGCCAAGTTTGTTGATGGCGTCAGAAAGGTTGTTTGCCCAAGCTCATTTGCGAAGCATACGACCCAATATAGAATGACTGCTCTGCTTGCTATGATGCAGATATAGCAAGACTGCTAAGGAGATGGCAAATACTATGGCATTCTGAGCTCGTTGCTTTGAAGAGGTCTAATATTCTGCCCCCACTTCTTTGCAGCTTGAGACTGCTCGCCAAGAGATCTTGACACGATCCAAGTTAAGCATGAAAGTGCAGAAAATGAGATTGGATGTCACATACCTTAGATTCAAGATCTTAAACATGTTGTTTCTGAGCTTCATTTTGCTGAAAAGGATGAAAAGTTGATTGCTGCTTATAACCAAGTGGTCCACTTCAAGAGAATCATCGATAGGCTTGAACCCCAAGTGTTGGAATTTCAAGGCGTACTGAAAGTCTGAAGAAGGAAGTGGATGAGATGTAGAGCATCCATGTTGGTCTGCTCGAGGAAGATGAGCAGCTGAAAGGTGAAAAGGCTGGGCTCGGGGTTTTGAGACCTTCTCTATTTCTCCAGAAGACTTGCTTGATTTTACTTTTGAGGCTTCCATTGGTAAAGTAGTTGAAGAAGTTAGTGCCCAAGCTAGGGCAGTCGGGGGTGAAGCGCCGGATGATACCGCTTCTAAGAGCGTTGCGGCTGCTGAAGTTGTGGCGACCAAGTAGTCGTGGGATGTCTAAGCTGCTATAGTCTTCTAGGTAGCCTTTAGGATTTTATTTGTTTTTCCTTGTAGCTCTTGTTTTGCTTGAACTCCTTTGGCCTTTGATAGTTGTTTATAAACATGTTTTCCTTCGTTTTTCTTCATCTTCGCTTCTTTTGTTCATGCCCTAACCTTTAAACTTGATAGACCAGTGGCGGGCATGCTACTTTTTTATAAGCAGACAAGCCCGCATAGCCTATGCAACTGTAGGTGTTGGTGTAGAACTTTGCAAAGTTGTTAGCCATAAGGTTGGCAGCCGAATGCCTTACTTACAGAAGCAGACAAGTCCGCGTAACCACTAGGCTGTTAACCTTGGCTTTCTCCAATTTCGTAGGTTGCGTAGCAAGTATCACAACACTTTAGGACTTGGTGTTGGTTGTTCTACGCTTGGCAAAGGTGAAGCTTATCGACTACGTAGCATGTCAGCAGTGGATAAAACTTCGTATATGCGTGCCAGCTTGTTTAACCTTTCACAAGAATGTGCGGTTATATAAGTCTAGCACGGCTTTACTGCTTGAAGGGCAAGCCGTAAGTAGTATTCCAAAATCCGTAGGCTACCTTAGTGCACTTGGTAGCAGCTTTAGGGTTCCAGGGCAGCCGTCTGTAGGGCGTACTGCATAATGTGCCCCCTCCGTCTCTAGTGCCCGGTTCCCCACGGATTAGGCCAAGAGACCAAAAATCCTTCAGTTAGTCTTGACAAATACCATTGTGGCTACTTCTAGGAATCCCGGTGTAAGCCATCGTGCATCTAGTTATACTAGGGCAGCCAGGCTCATCCACATATGGATATTCGGAGTGTAAAGTTTATCCTCCTGTATTGGGAAGTTGACCCATATGGGTGTCGGGGAATTGGTTTACCCTCTCGCACTGGAGAGCAATTAGTTTACCATTTCACTCTGGAGAGCATGGTTGGTCCATCGAGGGGCGCAATTCTTGCGATGAGTCCCTAAGTAGGGCGTAGTCTTCTTTTGAAGTGCATGAGTGATCAGTTGTTGTAAGTATGCGGCGGAGCCAATTTGTGATTACTTCTGAATTCCTCATTGGAAAAACGAGTGAAACGAATGAGAACTTAACTGTAAGGTAGGAACTGCATAACAACTAGATAATCATCTGCTTGTGAGGTGGTCCCCGTCGAGCTTCTTGAGTCTTCGGGTTTTCATGTAGCGGGAGGTCACACATGGTACTTCTTCAGATTGTAGGCCATCTACTGTTTTTCGATCTTTTTACCGTTTCATGGTGGCGAGGGTGTAATTACTCTTACCGCCTTCTCTGCTGATCTTGTACAGACCTTCCCAGATGAGATTCATCTTTTTGGAGCCTTCTCTGCGGGTAGTGATGAAGGCCTTAAGACTAGATCTCTGGGTTGGAACTGTCGGATCTTGGCCCTTTTGTTGTAGCTGGAGAGGAACTGCTGCTAGTAAGTTGCGATGCGGGTGATAGTCTACTCGCATTTCTCCTCTGCCAGATTTAAGTTTGTGGCCATCTCATTTCGATTGCTCTTTTTTGGTGGTGCGATATGCCCATAGACATCGTTGGAGTTCGTCTGGCCATTTTCTTTTCTTATTGGTGGGGGATTTCTTATGACAGTCGAAGATCATCTTAGTGGATGCTTTGGCCCACCTATTGCCTTGAGGATATCTTGGCGTAGACATGTGTTGCTTGATGCCATATTTTTGGAAGAACTTCGCCAAATCTTTGCCCACGAATTGCGGGCCGTTGTCGGTGACGATCGATTAAGGGATGCCAAATCGGCAAATAATGCTCATTCATATGAAGCACTCTATGTCCGTCTAAACCATGATCGTTAAGGGCTCTGCTTCTACTTATTTGGTGAAGTAGTCGGTTGCCACGATCATCATGCATTTGCCCTTAGTCGTCTGGCTGGTGATTAGCTAGGACTCGGAATGAATTGAGAGCTTTTTCACCACCAAGTTTTTTGTCATTAAAAGACCTGCTAGTGGGGCTTCGTACTCTGCTTCGTTGTTAGATGCTTTGAAGCTTAGAGCGATCCCCTGCTCGAGCATTAAACCGTTTGGGGTGGCAAGAAACATGGCTGCTCACGAGCCTTTGTAGTTGGATACGTCGTCGACATGCAAATGCCAGAAATCTCCATTGAGGGAGCAGGTGTGGCTGAAGTGTGTTCGGTTACCTTCGGGGCGTCGTTGGGCTGCTATGTTGCGTTGTCAATGCTAGGCTTGAAGGCGCGGCAAGGAGCAGTGGAGCTAGGGCTATGTTACATGTAGCAGGAGATGCTCAACTTCTAGTATTGGGCCACTCTAGAGTTGAATAATAGAGCAAGGGTCGGCTAGGGCCGTGTGATGCTCAACTGCCGGTACATGTTGCTCTTATGTAGAATCTTCTAGGGTGACGAGGACAAAACTTGCTTCTGAGTGTTCCTTCCAATGTTCGTCTGCCCTTGGTGTGTCTTTTGGGTCG